TATACTAAATAAGAATCAATTGGATTTTTTAATTTTTGATAAGCAGAACAGCTCAAATCATGGCAACCATGGACCTACTTTTTTTTTTCATGCTCCTGTTTGACGTGCTCCACAGCAGCCATATCTAACTATTCTTCAACAAAAAAATTTGTAATGATTCTCCAAGGACAAGTAAATACATAGGAATAAAGCTCGTGTTAATAACTGTTACCGTACTTCTGTAATAAATTAGCAAAGAAGGCCTAAAAAAACGGCCGTCACACTAGAAGACACCCTTAAGTGTACAGTCAAAACGAAGAACGCACTAGGGTTAATTTAACCTTTAAATTAACTTAAGTGAAGATAAATAACAGAAGCAGTCGTTTATTCGTTTAATCGGCACCGCTTATTTACTATTTTCTTCTTTAAGTAGCTGAAATGAGTACGTTTGATTCATACCTATTAAAAGGAATAATGCTGCAACAAAGAACGTGAGGACATATCCACGGTAAGGTTCACCATGTTTTCCGTAGCCTTTGCTAAAATATATCAAACCGGGATAAATTCTGTCTTGTCCTAATGCCTGTATTAATCGTGGAACCGATAGTAAATTAGTTAAAGCTGTAGAGAGAGTTGCGGCAAAGCAACCGGCGTAGATAAGTGGACCCCAAACTGACATAAGCTGCATCACCTTAAAACGTGAGATGTGAAATAATTGTAAATTTCTTTGCTAAGAATTTTCAAATAAAAACTGAACTTAGTAACAAGCTGCAAATGGTTTAAACGATGTAAAAAACAAAATGAACGTATGAAAAGCTAGTTTCTGTGTTTCCACTGGACGGTCTTATTCTGACGATGATATTTTGTCAAAAGTGCATCGATGCAATAAAAGGTCGTACAAAATTATATAAAAATTATTTATAAAAACGCGAGATAAAATCGCTGCGAGACATATTCGACGAATATCCGGTAATAAAAAATGTACGAGATCAAATAATAAATTTAATTTGATTAAAATAAGCTCTATTGTTCAATATTTGATTATTTGTAACGACAATTGTCCAAATTGTTCAAATACTTAAAATTTGATTATAATTTGACGTCTTAATATGAATTTTGCAAGCTACTTTCTATTCACAAATAGAAATATTCTTCGCACTTTTCATACAGAAACGTTGTAATAAGCCGTGAATGTTGCAATGATTAATTATAGCATGTCGTACCGAATAACTGTTGTGCAATCCATAAGTGCACTTGACGTGTGGAATGCAGTCTATAAAAGTATTATTTGCACCGACAAGGCCACTAGCATCCCTCGAAGCCGCGCCACCGGCAAAGAGGACGAAAGTGACGTAACTCAGCATCGAAATTAGTAACGCGAGGAGGGTTCCAATCGGTATACTGCTTGCTGCATCTTTCAGATCGCCGGAAATGTTGGCACCAGCTTGAATTCCAGTTACGGACGGAAAGAAAATGGCAAATACAGAGAAGAACGTTTGATTGCTGTTCTCGGAAAACCGATAATCCGGACCCATGTTCTTCATAAAAACGTCCGCTGGAAAATATAGAAATGGTTCGGTTAAAAAGTGGAATTAAAGTTTACATCAGTTATTAATTGAGAATGTAATGTATTGAAAGCGTAATTGATTTCATCGTTTCCATTTTATTTACCGCATGTACTTTTCTAGCTTTCTCTTTTAAATATCGATATTGAATTTCGTTTTATGTTTGTACATTGTTTGAATATAACTATTGTCAAAAGTTACGGAAAGTAAGTTTCTCAAGGTTAATGTTGCGTATTAGAACATCAGGAACATCTTTATATTATATCGCATTATTAGTTAACCCTAGTGCGTTCTTCGTTTTGACTGTACACTTAAGACTTTTGGGTCAAAAAGGACCAAAGACCTTATGTGTACTAATTTTTGTTTCCAACGCGACATATGAACCTAGACAATAAACGTTTAAAATAATGTTAAGGAACGTGATCTTGATAACAGCAAAAATGACTAAAAATATACAAAGGCGGTGGGTCAAAAAAGACCCGAAGACCGCTCTAGGGTTAAGTGTTTTTGTCTATATTTAAAATACTTTAAAATATCGTAGTCAAACATCAGAAATGGAGGGAACTCTGAACTATCGTTTTCACCTTATTGCTAGATCAAAGCCGCTCAGACAGAGGTTTTACGAGGGAGAGCACTCGCTGCTGTTCGCGAGCACTGCTATACGTCGTTCAAAATGAGAGTAACCTCGCTCTCGGACCGATTCTCGTCCGTTCTGCGCATAGACAGAGAGCGTAGCAGAGGGTAAGACGGAGAGAAACGTAGGCGGTTAAGTGGGGGTTTGGACGTTCTAGCCCCGCCTTAGGCACGTCCCATGCGCGAAGCGAGGTTACTCTTAAATTGAACAGAGTATACGAGCAAAGCGAAGAGCAAATGACGTCGACCAGTCGTGATTGGAGTGGGGAGCAACAGTTGTGGTCGGACAGTGGGCTTGTAGTAGGTAGGCGTGTGTTGTACGTTCATGAGGTGTTTCGTGTCATCGCATCGGATACTTTTTCCCAAGGATTTAGACCCAAATGTAAAATACCGGTATTTTTCAGTTTTCCTTATAGAATGGATAAGGATTACGAAGATACAACCGAAAAGTACCGGTATTTTGCATTTCGGTATAAGTCCCTGCTTTTTTTATTGCATTCATGTGAGTACTTATTATGTAGAGCCCCATCACAGGATCGTTGATAGAGTCGGCGTGGCTTACTACTGGAGCTACTTCGAGATCGGCTCTGATCTAAGGTGATCACGTTTGGCGGTTCACCCTGTATAGATTCTGTATGTATACATATATACAAGGTGTTCAAAAAAAAAACATTCAATATTTATATGGTATATAGAACACACTGTACTGAGTAAAAAAGCCTTAGTAAACATAGGTCGAAAGGTCGACCGTTTCTGAGAAAGGTGGACCAGTTGCATGGCCCTTTGGACTTCCTTTTATGGGGATATTTGAAGAGCCAAGTGTATTCCTCGCCGATAAATGACTTAGAAGAATTACGTAACCGAATCCACCATGTTTGTCAAATAATTCGACAGAGATGTGGAATTTTCGAGAGAGTTCGCGACTCTGTAGGAAGGAGGACACGTGGAAAATCTTCTGTAAATATCGAAAAGCCGGTAGCAAGTCAATCATGACGCTAGCAAACAAAAATGTATATATCTCAGAAACGGTTGACCTTTCGACCTATGTTTACTAAGCCTTTTTTACTCAGTACAGTGTTTTCTATATACCATATAAATATTGAATGGTTTTTTTGAATACAGAAGAAAATTAAATTTCACTTACTGGAGAAACCAAGAAATCCTTGGGCTTCCTGAGTTATATCCTTAGGTCCTATGATAGCGCCAATTATAAAATCAAAAATAGCTGCAACAATGATGGCTATGAGGAAATTTTGTGCCTGTAATAAATTACTCTCTTGTACAACAATATTAAGAAACATTGAAAAAATAATTCATAGTTTCTAGTGTTGTGCTTTTCATCGTGCATTAGAGTATATCAAGTATATTGGAAGTATTTTTATAAAAATTCATTACACAATACAACCAATTTAAACTGTGTACACTAACTAAAATCACGTATGTGCGTTAGATTTCTAATTCAACTTTTAATTATTGATCTTCGATTATAGAATTATTCACCTTGCTGAAGTACTCATTTCAACTTATTCCATACGTTTCAATTTGAACAGACGTACTATTTTATTATATCAAGCTATAAGTACCTTTGACTCCCATTCCATCCCGACTGCGCAAATCATGATCATAACGATTAGCGCGATTGTGCCCACAATTCGGACATCGTTCACTCCATTGTCGATGATAGTCAAGTTGTGCTCCCGTAGCAAATCGTTCAGGGAGTCACAGAAACCAATGGTGTTCATCGAAGCCGAAACAGCGTTTGCAAATGCGAAAACAATGCCCACAGAAGCTCCGAATTCCGGCCCCAGGGTTCGTGATATGATGAAGTATATACCACCTATAGAAATTTCCATTCGCACATTATTAGATTTAACAACATCTTCCAGGATACAACAGTGCAATTTTCTTTCGTTCATGTGTACGGGAGTAAAGGGAAATAGAATAAAATTTGTGAAGGGGAAAGTAATTGGTTAACGCCGAAACTTTACAGTTGTGATAACGAAAATAGAAGTGCTGTGAATTTTTGTCTGCGTAATGTAAGAAACACGTAATAATCACGGTCGAGGATTAAACAGTGTGAATCGAAAGAAAAACTTGTATTTCTGAAAAAATAATTCCCATTCGATCGAAATGTGCAATTATGCGTTGCAATTTTTGACAATTTCCCGTGGTACAATCTTATATTTCACGATCACTTTCGCCGATAGTAGATAGAGATAGAAGCAGAAAATAATTATTTTCAAAGTTTCCATGACGTTCTGGATCGTGGAAAAATAATTCAAGTGATGACACGGTAGGCGATACCACTCCTTCGAAAAAGGAAAAAAGTGTATGAGAAAAAAAAAGTGCGGGAGGGAAGTCCCGTAACACACCTCCCTTTACTTCTCCATTAGTACTAATTGCACTGAGGCTAAGCGTTGTGATGACGCAGACAGCCGCTGATATTCCGATAATGATAACGCTCTGCAGTATGCCAGCCTGTGCGACCACCCACGACAGTCGTAGGAAAAGCATTACACCCCATATATTGAGCAGACATGGTATAAGGACACCCTGGATCCATCCTAGTTTTATTCCTGTGTGTCCTTGCTGTGTCGTTCCAACTTGACCAGCCTCTATATTCGTGTCCTGAAATGTGATCGTTGCTCATCTTTATTTCTTCTTCTTTTTATTTATACTGGGTGATTCTAGCAACTGGGCCAAGCTATAGCTCTGTTCCAAGAGAAGATAGAAAGAAATCGTAGAGAGAAACGTTGCACTGTTTAACGAGCTCTATCTTTCTATAGTACGATTTTTTCCGAAAGTGTATCGGTGCACTTTTTTTTTTAATGGAACCACACAATTTTCTTTAGATAAACTGACTCTTCCAGTAATTCTGCAAATAAAAAGCACAAGGTAAGGTCGTTAAACACTCGATACTTTACGAGATATTAGATTTTTTTCAAAAATTTACAGCAAATACTCAAACGTCTCACAATTCTAAGCGTTTTTCATATTCTCATTCAAAACTACTCCAGTTAACAAATGCAACAATTAGAAGTGTGCGAGAACTCGAAAATGTTGGGAACCCGATGCTCGGAACGGGTCGGATCGGGTGATATCTCGTAAAGTATTGAGTGTTTAACGACCTTACCTTGTGCTTTTTATTTGAAGAATTACTGGAAGAGTCAGTTTATCTAAAAAAGTTGTGTGGTTCTGTTACGAACCCACTGCCTTTCCCCCACACATTGTTATTAGATACTATTATTATATTATTATTAACATTATTATTAGCTATTATTATCATTACCATACACCTTTATAATTATAAACCAAAAACGCCAAGCAACCGCCACAGGTAGGAAGGGAGTGAAGTCGGGAAAAACCTACGAAGCGACGCTCGACACCAGGCCCTTTTCCTGACCATTGATTGGTCGGGAGCAAGGTGCCGAAACTAGTATAAAACCGATGTACCCGCACAAGGTCGACAGGTAGTCTAAAACAATACACCTAGAACGACACCCGCTCGAACTAAACATTAAATAAAACGACATCAAACACATTTCTGGAATTTTACGCCTTTAACCAACCCGAAACAAAGGCGATCTCAACTGTTACGGCTCGTTCCGTAACAGGTTCCATTAAAAAACAAAGTGCAGTTGCACTTTCGGAAAAAATCGTATCATTGAAAGATAGAGCTGGTTAAGCAGTGCAATGTTTCTCTCTACGATTTTTTTCTATCTTCCTTTGGAACAGAGCTACAGCTTGGCCCAGTTGCTAGAATCACACTGTATATGTATATTCACTGACAGGTACCTATAGAGATTTATATAAAAACAAAAATCCAGCTTACCAACACCACTCTACATTAGAATCGACAAATATCCATATTTACGAAAAATCCCTACCATAGAACGCAAACAAAGGAAAATATTATAGCTCCATGGACTATTAGGACACTGTTCCGTCTGCAACTGAACAATTTAAAGGTATACTCTGTTCAAAATGAGAGTAACCTCGCTTCGCGCATGGGGCGTGCCTAAGGCAGGGCTAGAACCACTTAGAACGTCCAAACCCCCACTTAACCCTCTGCTACGCTCTCTGTCTATGCGCAGAACGGACGAGAATCGGTCCGAGAGCGAGGTTACTCTTATTTTGAACGACGTATAGAACGATTTAGGTCACGGTCGCCTAAGCCATCTAATTTTAGACAAGTTATGATGCGACAAGTAGCCGGCAACTGTCGACGCGGCCGATGAGATATTATCGCTGTCCTGCTCTGACACGATATCGTGACGTCAACAGGGCAACAACCTCTCCTGGTGATCGACCGCCGAAAATCGGTTCGTTATCCACGAAAATTTGAATTCCTTATTCTAGGATTTTCGACGGCGATCCCTTGGACTCCTCGGACGACGGCTCGCGAGCAGACCTAGACCATTTCTAGACGTTCAAATCAGGCTTTTCGTGAAACGTTCATGCGATATAGTACATTCGTCTTTAGGCATGCTTAACTGAAATTCTAGTCGGGTGGATTTGATTTGGTGTTAGTGACAACAACACGATAACAAAAGTTATCATTACTGTAAAAAAATGTCTCGATCGTTCAAATTGTTAGTCACAATACTCTTTCTGTTGAGTAGAACAATTTTTCCTCGACACGCCTTCTTGTGTCGTCGTAAGTGATGGAGATACGAAGGCGGACAAGATAAACGAGAAAGCCTTTATACAGGGCGCGGCCGAGTAGCATGTACAAGCGGGCGCGAAGTGACTTCTCACGAAAAAATAAGAATAAAATATTTTCATCCGAGATACAAACAGACATTCTGTTAACCATTTTATTCTACGAATTACAGAATTGCTGAAACTGATTGTCTCACTGTCGTATGCATAACTGTGTCCGCCTAATTACAGATGCACGAACTCTCGGTAATGTGCTTTGAGTTTTCAAGTTTTCAAATGCGCGATTAACATTTTGCACTTGCAATATCTTGACTATAAACCTTTCCTTCGATATGACTCCACGAATAAAAGTCGAGGAGTGTATGTTCTGGCGATGTTGAAGGCCAGACAACTGTTTCTGCGCGGCCAACCCAACCTTAATATTTTTCGTTAAGAAAGTTTCTTACTCCTCGGTTGAAATGTGGCGGAGTTTTATCGCGTTGGGAACTTATTCGTTGTCAAATAACATAAGGCACATCATCTAATAATGTCGATAAATCTTCACGTAGAAAATGTAGGTGAGACTCTCCAGTTGAAGTATACATACACTACCGGCCAAATGTTTTGAAATCACTGCGCATTGCAAGTTGCACAAAAATTCCCCAAAAATGTTAGCATTTATAATAATTTTCTAACGAATTTTCTATGACTCAAATCAATCGAAATGAGATAAAGTGCTGTTGATCTCCACAACATCAATTTCAAATCAATAAAGAATCAGTAGCAGATTCAATATTAATATAAATCGGCAGGCGATTCCAAATTTTCGGCCGGTAGTGTAGGTATGGCAAAAAGTGCGGTCCAATTATGTAGTTGCCCATTCCAGCGCATACTTTAACACTAAACCTCTCTTGAAAATGTGTTTCACGCGCCGCATGAGTATTATGAATATTGAAAGCACCGTTTCTGGCGAATTGTGCTTCGACAGATATTATACGTGGTGTGATCAAAAAGAAACCGGACTCTGCTTGTCAGTGACTTTGGGGGTCACTTCTCTATACCCTTATGCGTCTGTATGCCAAGTGTCATCGAGCTGTTAGCATTGAGACGTGTGCTACGAGTTATTTAATAGAAGTGCGTTTGTGTGGTTCTGCGGTCGAAGAATGGACCTTACATTTGAACAACGTGCGAACGCGAAGTTTTGTGTTAAACTTGAAAAATTTTTACAGGAGACGAAAGTTGGGTTTACGCTTATGATTGGGAACGAAGCATCAATCATCCCAGTGGAAGCGACTAGAGTCACCAAGATCGAAAAAGGCACGACAAGTGCGAAGTGCGACAAAGAGCATGTTAATCGTTTTTTTCGACATTAGGGAAATTTGTTCCTCCTAATCAGACAGTTAATGCAACTTTTTATTGTGACGAGATTTCGAAGTTGATACCTTTTTTTTTTAATTTCCTTCGCAGCTGGTATTTACTGCTGTGCAAATTTAATATACTTTCTCTGCCGTGGCTCGGTGTCATAAGTTCGATCGTCTTTGCTGAGGGAGAAAGATCCTCCGGGGCTTATTTGATACTACGATGCTACGAACTTTACGAGTTCACTATTTGTGAATCTTTACATTAGTATCTACCTTTAGGTAAACTTTATCGTAGAAAAATATATACACGCAAGAAACATTATTCATTTATGTAATAATTAATCCTTTACATAATATTCTTCTATTTCTAAACAAGTTTACCGTTGTCCCTTTCCCAGAAATTCATTCATATATCTCTGTGAAACTCTGTCTAACATCAATTTTAGAATGTTTAAGTTTCTCAGGTTTTTGTTTGGTAAAACAGTATTTAAAGTTTTGAAAAAGGATAACTCGACGGTGCATGGTTGTATATTGTGTAATATAGAAAGTGTAACAATTTTCTACTTAACTACATAGGGGAGAGTCGTGCAGTACCGGTCACTCTAAGTTTTTGTACTATAACTTGGGCTAATGTTTTGGGAAATTTGTAGTACAAAGGGTGCTTGATAAAAGGGGACGAATCGTTTTTCTTAAATTTTCTCACAAAGATAAGTAATTGGTAGAAATAAAAAAGTTGTAATTTGCAGCGAACGAAAAATTGTCGCACAGTACCGGCCAGCTACTTAGTTGGTAGATTTAAAAAAAAATAAATGATGTTAGTAAAAATCATTTAAAAATAGAATAGAACTTTTATTTAGGCGCGTCTAGAAATATCACAGGTAAAGTGATCGATATTTTCTTGATCCGTACACTCCACGCGAGCCCAACCATTGCAGCTATGAATAATAACTTTTGTCGTACGGAGCACCAGCGCAAACGTTGAACGTCTTAGAACTCTGGTAATGCTGAAGAAAAAAGAACGTCGCCGGAATACGTTGCTCAGGGCTATAGTATTTATTTGTTTATCCATCAATAGTACAGCCATCTAAGAGTGTAAGCGAGATCTAGCTTTGGCCGGTACTGCACGACTCTCTCTTATGCATTTAAGTTTTATAAAGTAGATCCTGTATTGGAAGTTGTTCTCAGACTAACGTAAGTATGAATGAGTGTAAGCGAGATCTAGCTTTGGCCGGTACTGCACGACTCTCCCTTATGCATTTAAGTTTTATAAAGTAGATCCTGTATTGGAAGTTGTTCTCAGACTAACGTAAGTATGAATTTGTTACAATTGGCGTTAATTTACACGTCGATCAAATTGTCAAGCGTGAGAATTTCCGAATAGTGTGTTGCATATTATAAATGCTAGGTACACTTGAATCCACGAAGTGAAAAACACGCAGCTACTTCCTGATCACACTATCTACCTATTCCACTTTTCGTGTATCCACGTGTTCCAATCTACCACATCAGAGCTGACACGTTAAATAAATCGTCAAAATTCAACTCCAACTTGTTCCATCGAGCATAAAATATTGAACAAGTAGTGGTGTGTCGCCCACTACGAACATCTCACCGTCAGAGTGAAATGTTTACGAGCACATCAAATTTAATAACGCACTTCCACAGAATGTCTGTTTAATTAAGTCTGTACTTAATCTCCGAAATTCAGATTTCCATTTTGAAATCTTGCGAACCGGTATTAAACGTTTCTTGTTTTAATATAATGGCACCTTATCATTTATAAGCTGTATTCACAACAACTTAGGTAGTAAGAACTTCATTATTAAATTTACAAAGTAATTTAGTGAATCCAGCATTACCTTACTCACCCTGTACAATAGAATTCACATTTTTAAATAAAAGTGTTTCTTTTGAAATAATTTACGTTTTATAAGTTTCTCTTAAATACGTACACATCTTTTTAGAAACCTTAAGAATACCGTTATATTAATATTTTGGATTAATCGACTACGTGTTTTGCAAAAAGTCTCACCAACGAAAGGATTCAGCTAAATGTTTTAGTAAAATATTTATGTTAAGAAGATAGTACTTTAAAAAATATTTTCGAATAAGATCATGTTATAAAATTCATATAGATTTCAGAATATTTAACATAATAATTATTTCATTCGGTTTGTGTACTGATAATAACTACACCTACGCGCATCTATCGTAAATGTGCAATTACTAACGAGACCGAAATTTCAATTGGCAAAATTTATATTTTCTCAAAGCAAAATAGCGAATGAAAAATTATTCTTAAAGTATGACCACAAGCTTCAGCAATTACAGAATAATTTTCAATGCATTTAATAATATTACAACGAGGATCTGGCAATCTTACCTTTATAAGATTCCCTTCATGTAGAGTGCTTAGCGATGGTCTCTTAGCACGGCGACTCAATCTAGAAACAGAGAAACGTTCTTGTCATTTCCATTAATAGTATTAAGTAGGGAATAAGACAGCAAAAACTTTTTAAAAAAGTTTTACCCTATTCTTTTGCAATTTTGAATTAAGCAAGAAGGATGTTATTTGTGAACACTTTATCAGTTTGACTGTAATTTCTAGCAAATTTTCGTTAGCGCTCTTTGAAGTCCTTAACACTAACCGTACCGACACTTATCCGGGCAAATGACCGGTTACGAAATAATCATATTTCTTCCGAAAGGAATGCAGGTGACTGTCAATTTAATGTAGAAAACAGCCTTTAGATAATAATAATAAAACAAAAATTACATATTTTTATTTTTAAGAAATTATAGGGGGAAAAGAGGTGAGGGGTTTGTGCGGAGTATGAGCCTTTACGGTTCGACCTGATGGCCAGCCTTATTAAGCTGCGCCGACTACAAAGAAGGATGGCCATCAGAGTCGTCCGCAGATACCGCACGATCTCCCGCGAGGCGGCGCTGACCCTGGCGGGACTCGTCCCATTCGAGTACCTGGCGGAGGGAGACGCACAAGTTTATGGGCGTGTCCGAGAACTCCGCCGGGGCGGGGCGGTCCTACCGCTCCGTGGGGGCGGTTCATCCAAATCTTGATGATTGGTTGAGCCGCGGCAGGGGACGGTTCACTTATCGCGTGACCCAGGTGCTCTTCGGACACGGCTGTTTCGGGGGGTACCTGAACCGGATCGGCAAGGGGGCGACGGACGGATGCCACTGCGAGGAAGGCCTCCGGGACGTGGAGCGTCGGGTCCTGGTAGACGAGGTCGGTCAGGACCTCTCGCCGCCGGCCTTAATCAAGGCCATGCTGGTGAGCGAGAGGTCCTGGGAAGCGGCGGTCTCCTTCTGCGAGAGCGTCATGCTGCAGAAGGAGGCCGCTGAGAGAGAGAGGGAACAAGGAGATCCCGCTAGGAGAAGGATCCTGAGAGAGATAGCGCCAAGGGAGAGGAGCATCCTCCTCCCCAGGGCCGGGAACCCCGGCCTGGATACACGGGACAGTGAGGGGTCAGGCGCGGGCCTGGCCCCTCCTACTACGGTTCCCCAGGGAAAGGGGCGGCGCCGGGCGTGGTCCCCTGGCGCTGCTGTGCCTACGGGCGGAGTTCGGGGCGGAGGCAACGTTACGCCTCTCCCCCGAGGCTGTCTCCCTGTTCTAACAATATAAAAACCCAGTACGCCTACACCTCCAGACAGTTTGTTCCTTTACCGACCATCGCGACGTACCCGCCGAACCGCTCCCGCCGGGACAATTAACAAAGTAAACGATTGTATTTTCTGGACCAATTGTACGTCGACCGTACACTTATACTTTAATAAATTGAGGTAAAAACAGTGTAACGACGTTCCTCACCCACCTCAAGACATTTCGCAAAATGTATCGTAATTTTTGTAATAACGATTTCCATCCTTAAAGAAATCTCGCATAAAGATATCACAGATCATTCTAGACATCTAACAGTAACCCTACTCTAGGCTACAACGGCCACCCTAGGCACATTATTCGGTGATCGTACACTTTTTGCCAATTTTGGTAGACGTTGAAAGCAAATGGTACGCAAGAAAATCGATCTCAGGGGAAAAATTTATTACTGCTGAGCAGAAAGTAATAGATAGTGTTACTGGTGAGGTATTGGGGCTGTTATATAAAGTATTCACGTTATTGGTTGCTCAAGGCAATTTTTCGAACAACGATCGAGGGGAAATCGATCATTTTCAGCTTTACGAGCTACACGAGCTCTTGTCGCATATACGGTTGTGTGACTCCTAAGAAATATGTTATGGTTGCATCTCGATTCAGCAAGCATCTACGTTTACAACGCAGTCTTATTAATAACAAATGCTAGTAAATATCCTACTTCGATCATTTTTTTCACTTCTGACTTTCTGCGACCTCGAAGATCGTCATGTGTTCCACATGGTTCAGGTCGTGTTCACTGTTATTTTCGTATGGCATGTAGAGTATAACACTTCCTTAACACGAACAGTATATTCTTAAAAACATTAAAAGTTACTTTTGAAACTCGAAAGAGTTTTTATAAAGCTAAGAGGAACTTTTATTAAATTAAGCGGAATTTAAAAGAAAAATTATCTGCACTACTTGCTCCGTGTAAAATTTTATTCTGCTAACTTTTGAAAGTGATACTAAATAATTATTATACAACATTCAGCTTTTTATTTCATTTTGTGAGGTTTAATGTAATTTTAGGGAAATTCTCAGATATTGAAGTTTTTATCATCTTGAAGAGAATCATTTATGTAGATAATCGATAATTGAAGCGTTACGTTTTCATTACTGAAAAATTAAATTATTTTCTCCTTTGAAGGAAACTGTTTTTAATGCCGTTGCAAGAAATACAATAGCTAATTACAAAGAAAATATGCTTTATTGACCAATACGAAATCAATCATTTGACTTCGTATTAAAATGATCGGAAAACCGTAATTATTTTCACACGAAAGAGAATAAACCTGTGATAAATCTGAATAATGAAATACAAAATAATAACGAAATTGTAGTTTAAATTGTATAGATACAATTTTTATACAATAAAAAAGATATAAAATATATGATTTCCTTTGGTTTAATTTTGTTCTAAAAGTAAACAATTTAATTATTATTACGGTTAATTACATCCGTACGGACAGTTCGCCCCAGATATATGTATGTACATACATACGTGCATTTAGCATGCAAAAACATTTTCCAACAATAAAGAAATTGCTGGGCATATTTTTGTCAGAAAGAAGCAAAGTCGAGCAAGAAAATCCTACTGTCGCAGATGAGGTCATAAAACATCCCCTCTTTCTCATAAACGTGCCATCGCAACCAAGAAGAGGGAAAATAGTGAAATCATGGAAAACTCAGTTCAAGCTGAATTTGTAAAAAGAAAATTAGATCCGTGTCACAAAGATATAAAATAATCGAAAATCTTTCGACGTAACACCATACATCGAATACACGTTAAAATGTTTTACATGCCATTTAAAAGGACATACATATATATTTTTCAAATAGAGTGAATAACCTTATTTTACGAAATATTGAGAGAAAAATAGCAAGTTCCATGAATTGAATACGAACATCTTGGTGGACCAAATACTTCAACCAATTGATCTACAAGGTAATTTCTAAGAGATGAACCTTTTTAAAACTCTACCACTTCGTTTGGGGGATAATCGAGCAAGAAATATATAAACGTACTCTCAAAACTCATTAATTAATAAAAGTTGCTACTTTCTTTAATGGATCCGTATTGTTTTAAGTTATAATTTTTTCTTGTTTCTCGCTGGCCAGAATATCTTTTCATCTGATTGCTACGTATGTACGGTGACTCTTACTAATATTCGGACACTCTTTGGAACGGTATAACTTTTTCAAAATTGGACTTAACGACTTGAGTTTTTTCGAGAAGTTAGAAGGATTGGTATACTAGATGACTAGAAAAAATTGCAATTTGTGGAAATCGCGAAGAAAATTGTAAAGGTCACATTCGACAACTTTTTTATCCGAGCCCGTAATGAAAATTTAAAAAATACGTTTCGTAGATTTATGCCAATTATACGCACGCTGAAAATTTCATCGAAATCGGTTAATGTTCGTTCGGCCTATAATTGTAATAAATCTGAAGATTCCTACATCTCTCGATGCCTGTCGCTTGTTTCTCCATCTACCGATTTCGATGAAATTTTCAGCATGCGTATAATTGACATAAATCTACAAAACGTATGTTTTAAATTTTCGTTACAAGCTCAGGTGAAGAAGTTGTGAACGGTGACCTTTACAATTTTCTTCGCGATTCCCACAAATTGCAATATTTTCCAAAAATTTTACACACGTCATCTAGTATACCAATCCTTCTAACTTCTCAAAAAAACTCAAGTCGTTTGATCCAATTTAGAAAAAGTTATACTGTTCTAAAGAGTGTCCGAATATCAACACATACACTGTACATACACTTTTGATGAATAAAATTGATTCTATGGAAGGAGTTTCATTTAAGAACAATGCAAATTTCATTTTTGACTATCTAAATAAACTTATTACATACGTTTGATTAGGTATTTAACAAAGTACAATAATTAGTGAATAATGAATCAACGAGAACGTGTAATAGGTGCTTTCCTGGTGTTAATAATTAACTTTTACCACGAACATCAAAACGAATGGAGTGAAAATTTAAAATATATTGTTTGAAATTATTAAAAAATTACTTTCACAAGTAAATTTACGAAGATAAGGAAGAAAGCAATTAATATGTTGCAGATTTGGGTGCATTAATGATTTAATCAATTTTTCATCATAAATTGAATTGAAAGAAAGTTATTATATTAATTGTACAGTACTCAATTTATTCTTAATATTCAGTTTATTCTCCTGAAATATTTATGAACTGCTTTACTTAATAAAATTAATATTTTCCATTCGGTACAATACTGAATAAGTAAAAGTACGGTTACGGTATAACTCGATTGAAAATTTCTACAAAGCCACGTCTATAAATCCATCACAATCAAAGAAAAAAATGTAAGATTTCTCTGTTTTCACAATTTTTCTAGTAAAGAAGGACGATTTTGTACGCACCTGTAATGATCTAACCGAGGAACGACATCCCATAGCCCACTGACGTTTAGGGTCATTGGTGATCTCTTGCTATTTTGGCCTCCACCGATAACCTCATCATCCATAGCTTTAAATAGAAGTCAATTATAACTCGTGGAACCTGTAAAAGTGAAGAAAAGAATAATGTCAGGTTAAATTGTGCTATAAAATGCATTATGTGACAATTCGTGTAATGGGACATTCGTCTAAAATACACACACACAGCGCATGCCGCGTTTCACCGAAATATACACAAGTAAAAATATTGAATAGCAGTGGCATTCTGTGCATGCATTTATCGTTATTTATTATCCATCGAGTTTGCTCTGTCTGAATAATATTTCCCAAATTCTAACCCCAGTCGTTCACCACAAAATTTATTTTAATCTTTGCGAATGTGATTACAAGAGTCGAAATAAGTAACGCCAGTTGAAAGAACGACATTTGAAACTTGGTAGCAATTTTGCAACTTTCCTAAGCTGTGAAAAAGTTACTTGAAACGTGGACATAAATGCGATAGAGGTCATACGCGAGAAGTATTCTTAGCGTGCGTGGAGAAGCGTGAAGCT